CTATCTTTTTGTTTTTAAATTGAACATTTATGAGTATACTTATATCCATTCATAATCTATATTTCTTCTTTTTACTGTTACTCAATTTAAATCTATATACAAAAGTTATACCAAAGTTGCAATTAATTTGTGGGGGAATATCCTCTCTGGTCTGTCATCACATTTATTAGGTCTACTCAAAAATAGACTGTGTATTCTACAATGCCTGTAGGCTACAATGCGAGCTATTGTCTACACACATAGCAATGTGATGTATGTAAATACTGATGATAGGCATCTTATCATGAATAATTAATATCAGTCAGAGGACAATTTTATTAAAATACCCAGATGTTCGAGTATGTCGAGTAGATAGTCCAGGGTCTTGAAGCATGTCTAATATAAGGTACACGTTATTCGTGAGATTGTAAAAGTAAGTAAGTTACATGTACAATGTGCATATGCGTTTAAATCTCCAATCAAGTTTGTTTTGATAAAACAGGTTTAATTTCTCCAGCTTCGATGTATCTGGTGGTTATTTTCATTTTTTCATCATCCCAGCGGCCCATGGGATTTAATCAACTTGATTCAGGGATATGGATTTAAGTGCAAAAGTAACAAAATTTCGTTTTCATCTCCAATCTATTATTTCACTTATGTATGCATCATATTGCTGCTAATGTTGTTACACTTTGGCAATTAACTGATTGTATTTCATCTATCAATATTAATATTAGAAATAAATTGATTACAAAACATGTACTCGCTTTATGCCGTTCAAATGGAGGCAGTTTAAAATGACATGAGTGTCATAAATGAAGGAATTCAAGATATGTTCCACGCAGGGGGTTCACTAGAAATTGTAAAAATGAAATGGTTACGAAAATATCTATATGTAATTCTTTAATCTAAGCGAAAATTAGTTAAAAACTGTCCTCATTAAAACTGAGCTTTAAAGTTCTAAATGAGTACTTGAGTACTGAAGTAGTTTTCCATACTCTATTCAATCACATTGACATTTTTAGAAATGATGTGGAAAATATCAAACTTTCAAACAAGACCAAGACAGTAGCGTTTATTTCCATTAAGTCCAAGACTCAATTCGAGTTTTACACACACACACACATCGTTAACCAATGCTTTGATTCTACGCATAAACACATCATTACCTATATGTAAATTATATAAGAATCTTGTTCAAAAACGTCGGCGAAATAATATACATGTGAACAATGAGTTGTACTCCTGTGACAATCTACGGTGGTAGTTCCCCTCGCATTTGTGCGATACTGTGTTGTATCTTGGTTACCGCCATATTTGGCGAGCAATACTTCTCTGGTGTATTCCTTATTTTACATATGTTTATACTCGGAGACAGATCCAGTCACTTTTCCGTGGACTGGTCTCTACACACTACACACTGGTCTACACACCACAGACTTGCCTTTTATACGAGTCGTGGACCACTCATTCAAACAGCGAGAGTTATATGACTCACACAATATTGTCTGAACCGGAAATCAAACCCAGGGTCAAGATGTAGCGGTAACATTGACTCTGCCACTGAGCCATAGCGGGGGGGAGTAAAATGACGTATACTGTCCCGTTGATATACATAGATTGGTGTAGTTTGGTTATCCCAAGCCTGTATTATTTAGCAAATAAATTATAATATAATATATATAATATAATTATATATATACAGGGTGTCCCAGAAGTAATGATAATTATGCTCTTAAATTTTTATTTGACAAGGAAACAATATGATATTCATACAAATTAAAGTTTAAGATATAAGCTTCATTTTGCTATATTACATTTATGAATTTATACAAAAATATCCCATGTATAGTTGCCATAGCAACATGTATGCGCGTTCTGCGGAGCAGTTTCAGTATATTATAAATGTTCAAACTTAGTTTAGAAAAGCAGTTATTCTGTGATAATGTTTCAAGCTTTTAAATCATTGTTATGGTAATTGTATACAGTTGCATGATGTCATAGTGTCGCGACCCTCGTGTGGTAGCGTGGTTTGAGGGTCACAAACAGAATATAGTCTAAGAGTCAATAATTTGATTTGATGTTTTCATTCACTTAGTGTCGGAACAAGTTCAAGTAAAAGTTGAAAAGTGTATCCCCTATTTAATTGAACAACATCTGTGTTCACAGTACCAAACAAAATGGGATAAAGTGGGGATAAATATAATGGGGATAAAATTGGGATAAATTTTGCGATGAAAATTTACGGGATAATTTAGGGATAAATTCTGGGATAAAAATAATTGGGATGAAGTGGGACAATTTCGGGATAACAGTTACGGGATAACAATATCTAAGTATAGGCTTAGTTAGATATCTCAGTGTTCAATGTAAATTTTATATTTCATAAAAGCAAATGGCAACAAACTCAAGATTCTGAATATGCCCAGTGATAAGTTGCATCAAATAAGTATGAAATTAGGGCGTGAGTATGACCAGGTGGAAGTCAAGTTGCAGCCACTTGAGGGCTACAATGGGCTTCAAGTTGTCACTTTTCACAATTAAAGTGGGAAACTTTGTAATGCTTAAAGTAGGGCTTTTTCAAATCAGGAGTCTGTCAAACTTATCAGGGGATAATATTACCAATTCACCATTTAAACACACAAACAACAAAACAGTGGAAGTAAATGGATTTTTATATAACGTATAAAAACAACTCTATTTCTATTACTAATCTATGCAAACATTTCACAATTCAGTACAGTCAACTGGTATATCAAGTACACAAATGCACAAAATAGCACAGTAAGTGGAAGTTCAGTGAATCAATTTGCAATAAAGCCCAAAATGTGTTTCTTTCCAAAAATGTAACTCAACAGTTCAGTTATGTATGATCTCTAGTTGGGTTGAAATCACCTTCCTATACTACTCACATGAAAAGTGGAATGTAGTTTTCCCCTCAATTAGCAAACAAAAGGGTAAGGTATTAAGTATTCGTGCAAAAATCTGTCTATAATCGAAGAACTATATAGAATATAGTTAACATAGATATTGACCAGATAACTAAATGGGGAGGGGTAGATGGTAAACACTGACTAGAACCCCATATAAGCAAGTGCCAGGCTAGAAGACCCTAAATGGAATCTGTACCAACTCATGCTATGTAGTTAGGGGGTGGTCAAAGTGTCTAGACAGCATCTTAAAATAGGCTTAAAGCCTTATGAACTGGCTTTAATACTGACTTTGACTCTGCAAGTACTGGGTGCAGAATCAGTGATCAGCTGTTTGATTATGGTCAGAAAGAACGCTCGGGATCCCTTTTAAAATACCCAGGCATGAACATACACATACAAAGATACAAAAGTGTGTTTTCTAATGGTTCAATAAAAGTTACTTTGGCGAATAAAATTAATACAGTCTCAAGTTGAATGAAGGGGGGGGGGGTCATAAAGATTATTCAATGGAACCCTAGGAACATTGACTCTGGTTTAGAATAAGTTACATCGGTTCCTAAGGACCATAACTTTGCGTACACCTTGTCAAATGTTCCATAACAATTCCCAGGACCTATCGAATTTACAATTGTTCAAAAAGTTCTCTCTCAATTTCAGGTTAATAATAATTGATGTATCTATTATAAGCAACAATATAGAGTAAGGCCAGACGTGTAAAACTGACTAGAAATAAATACAATCAGTGTTTTCGGTATAACATGTATAAGGGAGGGGTTGCAGTAAATAGTCTAAATAGTAATGGGAAGCCCAAAGAAGCCAAATGGGCTTGAAATGGCTTGCCGTGACCTTTGGGAGGGGGAGTTGTGGTAATTATATGGGAAGCTCTAATAAGCCAGTTGAAGCCAAATGAGCTTGAAATGGCTTGCCGTGACCTTTGAGGCTTGTCGGCACACAGTGACCCCTGTTCTTATTGAAGTTTCTCCAACCAAACTGGCAGTGAAAAATCACAGAAACAGGTCCTGGGATTTAAATTAGGGAGTGGGTGATAAAGCCCAATTACAGACAATTGTCTGAGAAGGAGCTTTACTGTCCAAGCGGGTGTTATTGCCAGTATGGAATAAGACTGAATCAGTTCAAAGTTCAAGCTGATCCAAAAGACGCTAGAAACTTTATATAATCCAAATCAACAGTAGTCCTTTAGCAATAAATCCCCTAAACAGTTTAAATGAGTGTTTATACATGTTATACACGCTAACTGAGATAAAAAAATATACTACAGTGGTTTATCAAAGTCAAAAACCTGTCAAAATAACAATAAAATCAATTCAATTACCTTCCCCAACTTGTTCACCTAAGTTGGTATATCTGTATTAATATAAATATCCAGTTTTGAGTTGCGTTTTTGAATGTTATGATTCCATAAAGTTATACACGTCCGGCCCGTTTCAATGCAATGGAGAGAGTCCCCAGACAAGACAGAATCACTGAGCTAAAACAGCTGATTTCCAGCCTAGCCTCGTTTTGGATAAAAGTAAACAAACCTGAAGTTTGGCTATCCCTTGAATGAAAGTTTACAGCACAGTGGCTAACATGAAACTGACCAGTTTCATAACAAAAAGTATACGCTGTCATTACTCTACATGATTATGGCATAATATATACAAATATAAAGTTTATAGGTACATGATAAAAACAAGTGAGGATCCGAATTCAATGGATCTTGAATAAATGAAATTGACACTCTCAATTTTAGTCCAGGGCAACTGCCTGTCTATATCAACAAGCCTTTTGCAAAATCTTAAAGAGTTCTACATATATTAAATACAACACAAATTAGAGTAACTACAAAAAGTAAGGAAGTGCAAAAGTGAAACAAAGTGACAATCCTTCAAGGCGATCCCATTACCATGCCCAAAGTAATCTGAAGGATCGTCACACTAGTGGTTTAATATTGTGTAATTTATCTCATTGTGACAGGATTATCACTTTAATCTGATAATATGACATCACATGATGATGTCATATAGGGTTTCACAAAAGGAAAACTCTTAGGAACACAATCTAGGAATTTCCAGGGAGGTGTACATTATGCCACCAACGTTGAGCAAAGATGAAAAATTAGAGCAGAGAGCAGTCATAAAATTCCTTCAGAAGACAGGGGGTAAACCCAGTGACACTATAAAGGAGTTTAAACAAGCATATGGTGAGAGAAGACTGTCCAACCCCACTGTGTATAGGTGGCATAAATGGTTCGGTTCTGAAGGGAGGACGAAACTTGATGATAAAAAAAGTCTGGCAGACCAGACACAAGACACGGCCAAGAAACTTTCTTGTACACTTTGTACAAGAAATGATAGTGCAGGATAACAAATTGTCTCCAGCAAAGGACAGTATGTGGATAAGTGAATCAACAATGTACAATGCTCTTAAGGAATATCAGGAATGAAGTAGGAGCATTACAGTAGTGATGTGAACAGCAGGGAAACATATGAACATGAAATGTTTTTCAAAAATGTATGAAAAACACACAGCTGCTCCGCAGAACGCGCGTACATGTTGCTATGGCAACTATACATTAAATATATTTGTGTCGAGTAATAAATGTAATATAGTAAAATGAAGCTAACAACTTGATCTTTAATTTGTTTGAATTTCATATAGTTTCCATATCAAATAAAAAATTTAGAGCATAATTATCATTAAATTAAAAAATACAGTTATAGTATATAATGGTATCACAAGTGTTCAAAATGATCAATCTTGCATACATGTATAGCGATCAATACACCATAAAATTCTAAGAATAAAATATATTTGGTAAGCAATTACTTACAATATCTGTAAAAAATAAACACTTATCATGCGATGCCAAAATCAACAAAGGGTCTATTTACGTCACATCATAATTTATACTTTGTAAGTTACTTATAATTACTACATCCGCCATTTGTAAAATGTATACAATTTCAATTTCGAAAGGTTTTCAGTCAAAAGTAGTAGAAGAATTTGCGCAGAAATTTATTTGGAGATGAAGATGTTATTAAAAACGTGTTTTTTATTTTTTTCCTGTTTCGTTTATTTTATTGAGACAAATACTGCACACGTTTCTATTAGCCTTTCGAAGCAAAGACCATTATACGTGACGTATAGGAAGTATCGTCATACCGAAAGATTAGACAGTCCGTGGAAGTCGTTCAGTGTTCTTACAAATGCGAGATGTGCAGCTGCGTGTAATAGCAATCCAGAAGCATGCATGTCATATAACTTGAGAAAAATTGAGGATAGGACCTATCGGGCTGTATGTGAATTAAATGGACCAAGTAAATCACTCCCGACGGATACAACAGATGATGTGGACTACTTTGAAAAAGGTTGGTACATCTAGTAATAATGTTATATCATTTTTAGATAGTCCAAATGTGAATACTTCCCTCCATAAATTTAGTGACCGTAAGAGTCTCCATTTGGATCATATATTAAAAGAATCGGTGTGTAAATTCAGAATTTCTCTTACTCTTGTAAAACATATTTGCTTTTTGTTTTGTCATGACCGATATTGTTAGATGCGAAAGTTAATGTGAAGTTGTGGCTTTCGGGATTTAAAATTCTGATTCTAAATATGGACTTAGTCTTGAGTTAAAAATCAACATTTCAGATCATCCCTGGCCCCATCCCATAAATGGTCAATCAGACTATGTATTTGCGCGTTGCAAACTTAGGTTGATCTAACGATGAATAGAACTTACTTCGGGCTGAATATGGCTGTCTCACAGTCTCATATCATTTTCGGACCTGACTCTTTAAGGTTATTTTATTGGTGAATTCTTGTTTTTTCATCTATGACGTTATATCTAAATCACTACACCATGCATGGTAAAAACTTTTTGACAGAGTTTGCATTTAATTTTGATAATTGGTGCTTTAATTATTTATTTATCTATTTGTTTTATTTATTTATCCACTCATTCATTTATTTATTGATCTATTAATTCATCATTTTTGTAAGGGAATTCCATTTCACATCCTCAAAGATGAACGGAACATCGATAAAATCAATGTTTTATTATACAAATATGAACTCCATTTAAAATCAAACGAACTTATCCAATGTTATCAAATGCCTTTCAAATGTCAAAGCTATTGGATGAAATTAGTTATTTAGTATTTCGAGTCCAGACTTTCGTCCCTAAAACATATGGACTTGGGAGATCGTTAAGGTTCAACTTGTTGCTTTATATTTCCGCTGTTGCTCTTATGGTGCTTAATTTTTAACGTCACGCTTTTTCCTATTTCCAATTCTAATTGTAATCCAATGTTCAATGCTAGAAAGGAAATTAATCAAATTAGAAACATGTTTAATGATTACACCAATTTCGTGAGCCATGTTTTTTTCTGAGCACTCATTGTTTTGATTGATAGTTAATGTATCCTGTCTCAATTAAAGAACTGTAATATTGATTGAAGTCTATGTTAAACAATACATATAATTGTCACCGAAAAGACTTCTCAGACCTAGAAATCAATGTTAAATTGCTAAACCTGAACATGCAAATATGGGGTTAACAAGAACGTATTTAACAACGTATTTAACAAAAACAAATATTTTGAATATGTCTACACAAAAAACAAATGGAAAATACTTAAATGGCCACCTAAAAAGTGAATATCTGAAAGTACAAGTCATAAGAAAGCAAATCCCCCAAAACACATTTGAAAACTTAATGTTAGAGAAAATAGCACAACCAGCCAATGATAAATCAAAAAAAATCGAACATACAATAAAGTATGAGAGAGATCTGGCTCAATGATAACCGTATATACGTGACGTTATACGTGAATATGAATAGTGTGTTTCGCAACAAAGAATATTTATGTGTATATATTTGAATACTTGATTGATTGAAAATAAAAAGTTTTATTGAAGATTGGATACTCTTTGACTTATACGAATCATCCCAGACCAATAGTAATGTGTAAACAAAATGAAGATTTACTCAGGTACACACAACGTTATATAATGAATGGCTTCTTATAGATGGCTCTATAGTTTGTTATTTAACTGATGTTGTTCACTGGGCTACTGTTTAGATCAAATCAAATTTTTTAATACGTGTGTATGGACACCAGCCTACTGCCATTTACATCTCAATACGTTTTTAAGTGATCTCGTTAACTAGTTTACTGTTATCATCTAATCAATTTGTTGCTATACTGTTGTAGGAGTACCAGACTACTGTTATCATCTAATAAATTTGTTGTTATACTGTTATAGGAGCACGTAACTAATGTTATCATCAAAACGATTTGTTGTTATACTGTTGTAGGAGTACCTGACTACTGTTATCATCAAATCAATTTGTTATTATACTGCTGTAGGAGTACCAGACTTCTGTTATCATCAAATCAATTTGTTGTAATGCTGTTGTAGTAGCACTAGACTACTGTTATCATCAAAACGATTTGTTGTTATACTGTTGTATGAGTACCAAACCACTGTAATCAGCAAATTAATTTATTGTTATACTGCTGTAGGAGTACCAGACTTCTGTTATCATCAAATCAATTTGTTGTAATACTGTTGTAGTAGCACTAGACTACTGTTATCATCAAATCAATTTGTGGTTATACTGTTGTAGGAGTACCAAACTACTGTTATCATCTAATCAATTTGTTGTTATACTATTGTAGGAGCACTAGACTACTGTTATCATCAAATCAATTTGTTGTTATACTGTTATAGGAGCACTGAACTACTGTTATCATCAAATCAATTTGTTGTTATACTGTTATAGGAGCACTGAACTACTGTTATCATCAAATCAATTTGTTGTTATACTGTTGTAGGAGTACCAGACTACTGTTATCATCTAATCAATTTGTTGTTATACTATTGTAGGAGCACTGGACTACTGTTATCATCAAATCAATTTGTTTTTATACTGTTGTAAGAGCACTAGACTACTGTTATCATCAAATTAATATGTTGTTATACTGTTGTAGGAGCACTGGACTACTGTTATCATCAAAGCAATTTGTTGTTATACTGTTGTTGGACTACTAGACTACTGTTATCATCAAATCAATTTGTTGTTATACTGCTGTAGGAGTACCAGACTACTGTTATCATCGTATCAATTTGTTTTTATACTGTTCTAGGAGCACAAAACTAATGTTATCATCAAATCAATTTGTTGTTATACTGTTGTAGTAGCACTATCTTATTGTTTTCATTCAATAAAGTTGTTGCTTATACTGTTGTAGGGGCACCAGACTACTGCTATTATCAACATAATGGTGAAGTTAATGTAGGTTCTGTGGACACATTTCGAGCTCAGTGTAGGAATGGATGGTTGGTTTTTGCTAATCGGTACAATGGATCGGTAGACTTCAACAAAAATTGGACAGATTACAAAAATGGATTTGGTTCCATTGACGGGGAATACTTCCTTGGTTTTGACAAAATACTCTCTATCTTAATACAAGGAAGTCACAAACTCCGTGTTGAGCTTACAACCTGGCCAGACAAAGGAAATGTTATGAAGTATGCTGAATATGGTAGCTTCAACCTAACAGGAGAGAACGATTATTACAGACTGAGTGTATCGGATCATTCTGGAACTGTCGCTGATATGATGGGACCTAGTAATGGCAAACAATTTACTACTGATGATGAAGATCGTGATGAGATGGTTGGAAATAATTGCGCATCAATAAAGAGGGGCCCTTGGTGGTATATATCATGCGCACCTGCTAATCTTTTTGGACCATATATGAACACATCGTCTTGTTTTTACTCGGGTAAATGCATCTATTTTCATAACTGGCCTGATGTGATAGGTGATCCGGATAATACCTGGTACTCTTTCAAGGAAATGAGAATGATGCTTCAACCATCAGTTTAAATTCTTAAATATATTATTACATATGTTAAGAGATAAGCAGTTGGAATACATGGAATTATGTTAAGAAATCAGCAGTCTGAATGCATAAGTATTCAAATGTGCTACTAGTATTGTTTTTTGTTTTGTTTCATTTATTTACAATTACAATTGTAACATTGCTGTCTTAGCGCCAGGGGTAAAAAATGCATTAAACTCATGAATCCCAGGCTCTAAAATCGGTTGAAACCAAAGAATTTCGCATTTTTGCCAGCTTTTGACATTTTACTATACAACAGATGATGCTCATTTTAGTAAAATTAAAACTTTCTCGTCACTCTGGGTTTCAAGGTCATATCTGAGGTGACGAGATATCTCGTCACTCATGGTTTCAAGGTCATATCTGAGGTGACGAGATATCTCGTCACTCTGGGTCATCAAGGGGTTTAAGAAAATATAAAAATATCACAATATATTTTGTACGATGTAATACACGGAACGGCATGTGCCATGTCATAACTCGGAAGAGAGAATTTAACGAAATTCAAATGAGGATTCTAGTACAAAATGACTGAATTTATGTTCATTTTGAACAAATCACCTGATTTTATGACGTTATCAAATTTCCCATATCGTTTATATGCAGCGTGGGCTCTAACAATGAGCTCTTAAATTTATTTTTTATTTGTGATGGATAAAAACGTCAAGTAACACAATGATATATTGGATTATTTAACTTATAATAATATGTTGCCTTTATTGTAATATTATCACCATATTGTATTACTTTAAAAGGAAAGTAGTCCAATCGATATAAGTATATATCACTAAAAAGCCAATATGGTTGGTACAGCATCACGAAATATACATTAGTACGGAAATATCGGGTTGTGTGGGACGACCAAATGACTTTAAAACCTTTACTCAATGTATTACAATACCAAACACCATTATTAAAATACGAAATGGTTTATATTGACATGAACTGCGTGTATGAACCTACAATGCACGAGAAGTATAAGAAAACGATGGAATATTTAATGTCCATATTTGTATCTGGAAATTGTAAATTATCGTTAGAGAGATTTCGTATCTCACAGCATGTTTATTATTCCCGTATAATGTACAACTAATAATTTAAAAGCATTATGATTTTGTCATTATCTATTGGGCAGCTCTGTACAATCATAAGTGCGATATTCTTAAAAATCGTCGTCTATGCGTAAGAATGGAGAATTTATGCAATACATATAATCGAAACGTCATGCATATTTTTTTTTCACATAAATACTCGTTCGGTTACAGTGTTTGCCTAATCCGTTATGCCTGGGTCAGTTTTGAACAGAATATTCAATCGGTTGGGCGCCGGCCGATGAATCGGAGCAAATAGTTATATAGCTGGTTTCCTATGATATATATTCTAAACAAGCTCGTTTCATAAGATAAATGGTGCTAAAGCAAGTATAGATATACACCATTTTATTCAGAATTATATTTAAATAGGTAAATAAAATATTTCTACATATTGGATGAGCAAAATGCAAATCAGAACTTTTCTTATCTAAAGTTATTTTGGGAATACCTTGATACGCATGAGAATCTGAACAAGACATATTAGCGATTTGGAATTTAATTTCAAAAAATGAACTAATTATCCCGAATCATTCATTATTTACCTAAATACCTATGTATTCCATAGACACTCATCAGTAATTTACGATATTATGTAAAGAGTAAAGAATTACGAGTGAAGCATTACGCGAATAGCGCAGTTAGGCATAAACGTTGGATTGCTCGTGAATATCCATAAATAACAGCGCCATCTAAATAAGAAAATATACTTTTAATTGAATAACGTAACACATACAGACTGAGTTATTACTAAAGAGGCTGTTTCGGTAATAGCACAACTTCAAATAAATTCACAACGCTCTGAATCTGATTGGCTGTTTGGATTTAAGTTACTTGACGACGCTTGTGTCACTTAACGACACTCATTTTACGTGACGGGGATTCCCTTCTATGATAGAAAGCTCCATTTGCATTGGACAACTTGACTAAATTTTGAGATATAGAAGGTCAACGGTAAAAACTATTTTTGAAAGACTAGTCTGTGTTTGGAGAACGAAGTTTATCAGTCTACAAGACGTTACGCTTGCTTTGGATCATTTTGTTTTTTTAATTGTAGATTTAAATGTCTCTTTTGAATATCCATAATTTAATTTGGATGATATTTCTATATCTTCACGCCTGCTTCGGACAATTGTGATATTTTTACATTACATAGTAATTTTAGGACTATTGTTCTCAATACTCCACATTTGGCCATTTAAATACATGTACTTACGTTCAACACTGAGAACAGATTATAACTTTACTTAAATAGAGAGCAGACTCAATAGATAACCGAATATCACAAAATGGAGCTTTTCTCATTAGACTGATTTCAAATAGAGATAGCATTAATTCATTTATTTAGTGTATGTTAATCAGCTTCATATAAAATAGACATAGTTCTCTGCAAATGTATCATTTTATGATTTTCTTACAGTTTGTTGAATGAATAATCGATTTTTGATTTAAAAAGAGGTAAATTAAAAAAACATAATTTTAAACTACATTTAGTAATTCAATAACTACTATAAGTAATTTGAAATACTTAGTAATTAAATCACAAGAAGGGGATTTGTGTCTGTAAAATATACTGAGAAAAAGACATTTTATAAGTGAATAACATGTACGATTACTGAATAGTATAATAATTACTGAATTTAGTGATTCACATCGAAAAACAATTACCCAGTAATTACAAGACATGTTAAGTAATTTTGTAAAATACTTAGTAATAAATTTAATTACTTAAACTAGTTGTAAAGTAATTTTTATTTAGAGTGTACTATGTTTTACCATGCATGTACATGAATGTTTAATTTGTCATTTGCTTTATTGGACTTATATCTCATGTACCTTAAATGTGTTTAAGAGACCAATACAGTTATTATTATCATATTGAAAAATTGGTTGACATTTTTTTTTAAAAATTTCAATCAAGATAGCCCAACAATATTTATTTAATTAAAAACTTAAGCATATCTAGAAAATATTTGTACAAGAAAAAATTGACAATTTTTGGAGAAAAATATCACAGCGTAGTTTTGTATATACTAAAATGATGGATTTATATATAGTTTTTAACTGTTTGTTTCTAAAATGGTAGAAAATTCAAACATTTGAAAATTATGAAATTAACAACTTGTCTTTTTTCATGATCAAAAGTCAGATTTTTTAAAATATGCCCCAAATAGTTTTTAAGCCATTTATTTTCACACATTGCATGTCACTTGTGATAATATCCATACATCTATACATAAATGATTTCCAGGAACTGCAAATTGGGTCTTTTTTGGTCTATTCATCAATTTTGTGACATTTTTATGCATTTCGTAATGTGGAATACATCGTGGAGTCCATAATTCGTTCTTGTTCTTGTTAAAAGCAAATGATGTCATTCGTAGTTTCATTTTGGACATGCGACCATTTAAGATGGTTGTATCTTTATGCTGAAAATAAAGAATTGAATTGACCATATTCAGAATACAAAATGACCGTTAATTAATTAAGAAAAAATCATTTCACACTCAACGCATCCTCCTAAGCAGGTGTACAGAATCAGTACCTCCTTCTCCCCCCCCTGCTATAACCAATTTGGAAGCGTCTGATTTAACTGAGTCACGTGATCTAATTATGCACCAATGACGTATACATGATTGCTGTCGCAGTGTTGCGACAGCCAATCAAATAGCGAGTTCTTAATCGGGGAAATGCTAACTGCTTAAAGCAGGGTGTAAAAAGAAAGAAGATATTCTGGATTTTGAAGCCCTGTGATCGGAGGATACTCTCAACGGGGATCAAAATATTTTGCTGTTATAAGCATATTATATAGCATTGCAGAAACGTTTTGCATGCCAGGTTTTCTGGACACATAATTGATTTTTCATGTCTTTCCAATATTTACCTTTACCAGAGGTCTCCATGTTAATCGCCGTACGGGAATATAATAAGTGTATGTATGTATATTTATTTATTTGGGTCTCACATGTATGGGTAATTTTAACCCTAATGTGTACAGCGTGTTTTTCATAAAACTAATGGTCAGTGCGTTTCAAAAGTTGAAGAGGTGCAGTAAAAAATAAGGTACAATATTGTAGGTCATTAAAAAGGGGGATGTTTAAAAATCTCAAGAGTAGGTCAAGTGGGGTCAAAAGTAGGTCAAAGTAACATAGGGGTGAGCTTTTTTCGCGTATTTCTTTTTTTTAACTTTTTTTCAGTCAAAAACGACAAATAATGTTTTTAGCCATTGGTACTAAATGTGATAGATGTATATAGTATCTACCTTTTAGGACAAAAAACTGTGGATAAATACATTTCCTAGATACAGAGGTAATTTTGTCGAAAATGAGCACGTAGGTTATCGCAAACAATTTCAAACGGTTCTAACTTGAATTATGAATATTTTTGATCATGAACATGGGTGTATCTTTTAGATCCATTCATTATCCTCAAGAAAAGTATATATAATGATAATTTAGTTAATCAAACCTAAGTGATATTGAAGGGGCAATGGACCAATCAACATATTTTTTCAAAATGTTGACCTAATTTTCACCAAAAATGCAACCTATTATTATATTGTTGAATGCATAATTAGAATGTGGTTTGAGACATGTTCGATTTCCTAAAAGGAAAATTTGATTGCTCCAGAGACTTTAAAGATATCCAATTTGGATGACCAAAATGAACTGAAACCAATGGATAGCATGGGATTTTTCAATGGAGAAATAACATGGGGGACACTTATCTTGATGCAATTAAGTTTTTCTTTCAAGAACTATTTGATATATCAAAATAAAGAATAGTAATGCATTAAACATTGTAAAAAATGATTGCATTTTTGGTGAAAATGGGGTCAACATCTTCAAAATGGGGTCAAAAAGTGTGTTGATGGGTTAATTGCTAGTTAAATATCACCGAGTTTGTTTGAATTTATCATTACTGTGCATAATTTTCTTTGAGATAATGAATTGATCTAAAAGATAAACTTGTCTTCATTGTCAGAAAATAGTCATAATCCAAGATATAACCCTCTGAAATTGTTTGCGATAACCCACGTGCTCATTTGATGAAGTGAAATATCGAGAAATGAGGAGATGGGAGACAAATCACAGACATGGACCGAAGATACAGAATAGATAATATTTTTTAAATAACCTCATAGGACATACCCTTGGCTATAATATAGTGTGAAATCTGTGGATATTAATTGACTATTAGCTGAGAAAATTTGTTTTTAGTGAATCACGGCTAGCGTATTTGAGCCAGAAGTTGCAGTGTTTACCTGCTTTCATAGTTTATTTTGCTTTTAATTATAGATGCCATATGTTTCTACGGGTACATAATCAAAATATTACATAGAAACACATGTTTGGCTCTATATTTACTGATTTATGAAAACTATTTTAAAATAAGTAAGCCCTTCGAGATGACAGAAAAAGAACCCCAAAAACCAGAACTTCAAATAAAATACAATGTACTCGTACCCACTTGTTGAATTCATATATGGTTATATTGTTTTGCATACATCTGAAAAACATATGAAAAACATGTATGAATCCCTTTGTTGCAGTTCCAAAATAAGTTTGGATGCCAAGTTCTATTACCTGATCATACTCCTCCAGAGTATCCTCAATTCACCATGTAGGAATTTATATGAAGTAACCCATTGAGAATGCCACTTGCTTCCTTTAGTTGTCACGCCTGTAACAAACATAACTTCGCCAAGGTTTGCTTGTATCCATTCGATCGTTTTTACTAGTAGGACTTTTTTGAGCCCAGCCTCATCTAAAATTAATACTTATTTGTTCATTCTTATGACATGATTTGTTACAAGTGAATAAGTGAGCTATTTTTAAATACAAAGTATTATTTTCATTAAAAATACTAATTTGTTTCATTTCATTTGAGTTACTTATCTCACACAGACACCACACTAATACTATGTAACGGGGCGAGTGGAAGGCCCGTGGGTGGCAAACAAATATAACAGCAGATGTAGTTAAAATGTTCTCAGAAATATATATTTGAAATACTCTGTGTATGAACAGTCACATTCTAGGCAACACTAACTAGTGAAAAGACAACACCCCAACTCAGTTACATGTGAGTGAATGCTATTATTATATGAAATACAAAAACAGTAAGAAACCATCACACCATGAAAATCTAAAAAACTGGTTTAAACAAAGGAAGCTAAAGTAGAAAGTATACCAAAGAATTGAAAACATTGGAATTAAATATTTGAAATTGGTGTAAAGTAATGAAGGGACCTGTTAAAATGACATGAATGGGTAATTGGTCAATATGAATAGAAGAAATATAAACAATGTGAAAATGCCCATGTTACATCCACGCGGACACGTCCTAATGCGCTCCGCATTAAGCCTTACTCGGCCACAAAATATGGAAATATAAAACTTCACTTTTCAAAATGGTTTACAATAAAATATTAAGTAATGGTTTAAACCTCCCCTTTTAAACATCCACTACCAGTGCAAAATATAGTATAAATAACACCATAAAGAATATAGTGGATTGTTGAAAAATCAAACAAAAATTAATTGAATCACATCTACGATGATATTAAAATGACATTAGAATTGAATCAATGCTGCATCTTAAATGTTAAAATAGGCAATTGTACCCCTGAGAAATATAGGCAAAATGTTTATAATTAAACAAGTATCCCTTGGCAACACCATTGTAGGCTTACATAATCTACATCATTAAAGACAAAAATAATACACCATGGTAGGCTGTGATACACCATTTAAGGCAAAGTAGTACACCAATTCATAGGCAAGTAATACACCACTTAGGCAGTTAATTAATACACCATTTTATAGGCAGCAATACACCATTTCAGGCAATAATACATCAATATAGACGACCATTTACCATTTCAGGCTAAATATTACACCATTTGGGATTTTAGATATTATCATGATTAAATGCAAATATCACGATAATAACAGGTTAACCTACAAACAGATATAAATGCAGCAAAGAAACAAACTTCATCACTTGCATGTATAGCATCGTGTCATTCAAAATTAAAGTATAAGAACGTGTTAGAATATAAAACATATGGTTGCAACCTGAATTGTTAAAGACATAATTAAAATACAGTCATTCAAAAGTCAATGATTTAATTTCATGAATCTGCATCAGAATCAGTATCCCAGCATAATTATATGGCAATCAGCATCAATAATATATCACAGTGTTATCAATAACGGGCATAATTATTGCACATCAAAAGTCGGCATAATATCACTGTAATATGGCAGATATATATGAAGATGGCAGATATAGATTGTGTGGTGTCATCATATGGAAGATATGATTCCTACATTATTTGGCACTAATGTCTGCTAATCGAATTCTCCTGTGGTGGTACACCTGGTCTAGTTTTACATTGTGCTGAATGGATTGTATTGAATTGTTTATCAATTCCAAGAAATTCGATATATCCTAAAGTACTATCTGTTTTGGGCACAAGCACTGTTTTCATATAATTCTTGATTTTATCCTGATACGCACAGATTTGTTGATGTTGATCATCTAGTTTGCGATTGAGATCTTTGATCAATTTAGAAAATTCGTTGTTTTGAGACTGTAGATCATCAATCCGTTGTTGTGATGCATTAATCTGTGAAAATCCCGATCATGGTTTGCTTTGGATTCTGCAACATATTGTTCCAATAATTTAATAGTTTTCATATTCGACTTAAGTTTGTAGATATCATTTCCTTTCTTCTGACCAAACGATTCACTTTGAATACGCTTAAAATTGGCCATATTGGAACTGCATTCATTCATGTCAACAGTTTCTGCTTTGGTATATTTTTTGTGACTTTTCGGTTTTTCAGTGTCTTTGCACTTTTGTGTCTGAATTGACGCAGATTTCACATTCACAGGGTGTATGGAAAAAGTCCTAACATACCTGTCTGGCTGAATATGGTCTCTATCACGGTATCCATAACAGCTGCACACCGAACAAAAGTACTTTGCTTGTTTGAACAGCTTACAACATCTTTTAGTATGCCCGGGAGAGTTACAAAACCAACAGGTTATCACTGTCGAATAGTAATCCTTTTTTTAGTTATTGTAAATGTTTTCAATTTTTTTCAAAGCTTGCTTAGTCCATTGTCTTTGCTGCTACAACATTGCCTACCCCACTGTCGCTATTTGTGCCTACCCCACTCCTGGTACCAAATGTAGCGGGTGAGTGGAAGGCCCGTGTGTGGCAAACAAATATAACAGCAGATGTAGTTAAAAATGTTCTCTAAAATATATATTTGAAATACTCTGTGTATGAACAGTCACATTCTTGGCAACACTAACTAGTAAAAAGACAACACCCCAACTCAGTTACATGTGAGTGAATGCTATTATTATATGGAATACAAAAACAGTAAGAAACCATCACACCATGAAAATCTAAAAAACTGGTTTAAACAAAGGAAGCTAAAGTAGAAAGTGTACCAAAGAATTGAAAACATTGGAATTAAATATTTGAAACTGGTGTAAAGTAATGAAGGGACCTGTTAGAATGACATGGATGGGGATTGGTCAATATGAATAGAAGAAATATAAACAATGTGAAAATGCCCATGTTACATGATTAAAATACAGTCGATAATGTTCGATGATGTTTTCGATAGCATAAGGTGAAATCTGAGGAGAGTCAGTTGTTACGAATTTTACGTGAATATATTGATGTATCATTTACTGTTTTTGCGTCTTTTTATGCTATCTATACATACCCATAGTTCAATCTAGAATGTTCTGTGCTGTATCCCCCTGAATAAACCCCGGATGCAGGATGTTTTCATCATTAACATAATAAATGTCTCCAGATATCAACCAGGCTGTGCAGTTAGCTGCAATATTACAGCTAGAAGTTCAATGTTGAGTTTAGCACTACCTCAAAACTTTTGAACTGCAAATGACTTATTGGCTGTTAGCCACTTAAACAGTTAGCCGTGGCTACTAATGAGGCTTTTTACACCGTCAGCCAACTAATATCACCAGACTCTCAGGATAGTGAGATTGAGGATAATACCCTATCAGCTAATCAACTTGGGGACCTGTCAACCTCAACCCACAACCTAACCAGTGAAGATGGTATTAGTCTACAATGTCAAGAAGGGGCTACCCCTCCCTCATCAGCATTACGCCGCTCTACCCGTGCTAAAGCGCCCACCGCAAGACGACTAAAGACACCCAAAACCCCACATACAACACAATCAAAACCCAAAAGGGGACGCCCTCGCATTGCCCAATCTCAACCCCTCCCATCCAAATCTAGTGCAGCTACTTCTAAACAGAGAAAATCAACTGATACATTCGAAACTGAAGTGCTCTCACTTCTCAGGACACTCCGCACATCCCTTGATGTAACCAATGCTTCTCTACCTGCAGTGCAGAAGACTAACTGTGATTTGGTCAGTCAGCTTGCAGCCAAAACTGCTGAATGACAAAGTCTCAATGTTGAATGTAGCTCCCTTAGAAAGCAACTCAACAATAAATCCAGTGAAACCAGAGTGACCCCCAATCCAGCCTCTCCCTCCAAAACTCTTCCTATTGGATCATCGATCATCCGTGATGTTGACTCTTCTAAACTTGATACCGAGAATGTCCATACAGAATGTTTCCGTGGGGGTAAAATTTCAAATGTTTGTGATAAAATAGCCAAAGCAGACTCGACTTATGATAACATTATTTTCCAAATTGGAAGTAACGATTGTGCCGCAAGTGACAATGCAGAAACTGTCGTGGACAGCTTTAAACTATTGCTAGCAGGTGGGCATGCAATCGCCAAATCAATCTTTGTTAGTAGCATTTGCCCTCGTACAGACAATGCCAATGCACGCACAACTGCACAAACCGTGAATACTGAGCTCCAAGTTCTGTGTGAGAACATGGAAAATACTAACTTTGTCAACAATGACTCTACATTTATTTTCCAAGATAGTACAGTGAATGAAGGGTTTCAATATGGGCCTTACTAAAAAAGTGAAAAGTGTTACTAAGCCATGGAATAACCATTTCCACAGAAACAGTCAGCAGAATTCCCATGCCCATAAGGACCCCGAAACACGTCCCCAACCCTCAATTACCCCTCCACCCAGAGTACATATTGCAGGAAATAACCTTTCACTGAGACAGGGTAACAGAAAAACACCCAATAACTCTAGACCAGCCTGCTTCAAATGTGGCGAGGCATCAGATTTAGCTAGCACCTGCTGGCATTCAAGCCCCGTGCGTTGTTACTCCTGCTCCATGTTAGGCCATAAAACTCATAAGTGCCCTAATAATGCCAATTTTCCCTGTAGTAACAGATTCTAGGTTCTCGGTGAAGTGCACGCCTTACCCCCAAATGAAATGAATACTGATGACACTCCCCAAAAATCCACTCTAAATGTGAGAAATCACAGACAACGTAGGAACAAAAAACATAAAGCTAAATCCAAATTCAAAGTTTTGTTCAATAATTTTCAACGACTTGGTATTGCCAAACAACATGAGCTAAAAGAGCACTTACAAAGTAATGATTTTAATATATGTGCAACTACTGAAACGTTTTTCAATGATATAATGTAAAATCCTCAATCCCTAGATCCTAGTTAACTAGTCGAAGATACCACAATCACTTGCCAACATCCTCTGTAAATGCTTATAGATATACATGTATGTACATGTAAATATTCATTTTGGCAGCCATTTTGGTGATCATTTTGGATTTTAATATAAGGAAAGGTCAAGATGACTTTGGTAAGGTAAGGCTAAATTGAAACCATTTTCCCCTGAAACCTAGTTTCAGATATCTATTACGTACATTACTTTCTAACTTTTCTATGTGCGTATAAATTCATTTTAGCAGCCATATGTTTGGCCATTTTGGCAGCCATTTCAAATTTCTATATAAAGGTATTCTTTAATCACCTAGATTTATCCATGGATGGAATCTGTATTAACTTCTAAAACCCTATCATGGTCTGTAAAAGCACTTTTTAACTGTTCTTTGAGTTTATATAAATCGTTTACATATTCATTTTGGCACTCATTTTGGTGGCCATCTTGGCATTTCATATAGAGGATTTCTATTATTACTTAAATTTAGACACAAATAAAATCCTCGGCCTCTAAAACCTATTCATGGTCTCCAAAGTCACTTTTTTACCGTTCTTTGAGCTTTTTTTAGCTTATATCAATAGTAACAAATTTGTTTTGAGACCCATTTTGGTGGCCATCTTGGATTTCCATATAAAGCAATTTTTGATGACTTAGATTTTGACATAAATGAAATCCTTGACCCCTAAAACCCAGAAATAGACTTCAAAATCACTGTTTTTGCCTCTCATTATACTAAGATATGATTTCTTTTATTTGGTAAAAAGCTCAATAGCAGCCATTTTGAAAAATGGGCGATAACACCCATAAGCTACCACTCCTGCAATGCTATCACATATTTTCTTACTCTGGAGGTATTTACCTTGCCAAAAATCACTATGAGCATTATTCCCCTTACTTGGTACCGATAAGCTTAATTTTGGGGTGAAGCTGATGGCCTAATAAGGAATAAAGTTCTTTTTGGTAACTTCGAAAGTGACATGTTTGATTCAGAGTTTGGAATAAGACAAGGTTGTGCTCTATCCCCAACACTATTTCTCTTAATTATAAATGATTTGACAGAAAGACTTAAAGAACATAATCTAAGAATACCATTTAAAATCGACAAAGTCCCTGCACTCTTATATGCTGATGATGTAGTTCTGATATCCGAATCTGAAGATCAACTTACTGAAATGCTGAAAGTTTCTAACTCATTTGCCAAATATTGGGGATTCAAATTTGACCCTAAGAAATCTCAAATTATGCCAATTGGTAAAAAAGTGATACAAATAATCAATGGAAACTTGGACAACTATCATTAAAAGAAACCAAAAAATATAAGTATCTAGATGTTATTTTAAACAATACTCTAAAAGACTCGGACCACTAATTAATACACTTATCAAAGAGAAAGCTCGAAAGACCAGATTCTATATCTGTAGCACCCTTAATAAACACTCAAATCTAGAAAGATTCAAATTTGGGGATGTTTTACATAATAATGTTTTCATACCAGCAGTTCTCCATGCATGTGGAGTTATTTCATTTGTCAATAATACAAGAGTGAATTCTATGAACTCATATCAGTATAATGTAGGAAGAGCAATATTTAATATAACAAGTACACCAGCTAGGGACGCTCTACTCGGTGACCTAGGTTGGAGACCAATTATGAATGTTATAGATAAACGTAAAATAGATTATTTTATTCATTTGAAAAATAGAGCTCAAAGTTGTAAGATCTTAAGTGATATTTATAGTGATATGTTCTCTAACTTTAAAGCAAAGAAAAGCTCAGTATGGCCATATATTGATTCCGTGTCAAAGATATTAACTGCCCATGGACTAGACAGATGCATTTCAGCCGACAATGCAGACTGGTATGACTCATTTCTCAAAATCTCAAATGATCAAAGAAACTCTGAATTTATTGAAGCAATCGATGATAAAAAGTCTTTGAACCTCTATAAAAAGTTGAAATTTAATACAAATAAAGAGAAGTACCTCATGAACCATACAGACCTTTACACCTCTCGACTTAAGTTTCTGGCCAGAACAGGCTGCTTTAACCTTGAGGAAGACAGAAAAAGATGGAAATAAGTAACGGTATTTGTAAATTATGTAACTTAAATGTAATAGATGATCCCATCCATCGTTTCCTCCTCTGTCCTCATTTCCAGTAACAAAGAACTGAATATATACATGATTTAAGTAGTAAATGTGATGCTCCTGTTGTGTCTCAGTACCTTAATTTCCCCCCACAAATGAAATTAAGTGCATTCTTGGGGATGATGTGTTTAGCATTTGGGGGCACGACAATGGCTGGAGTTTTGATGTTTGTACAAAAAGATTTCTGCAAAAGGTGTATGTGAAACATAACACTGCGTGATTTTAGCCTATTTTAATGATTTTACTAAAAGCTTATGTCTCATATTCCTCAACGGATTTTAGTAAAAAATGTGTTGTTTGTATACTACTTATATGTAATATTGACGCACCTTTGAGTGCCACTGTTATAAAAGAGACTGTCAAATAAATAATAAATAAATAAATATTTGTTGATGATAGTGTGTAACTTTACGAATAGATGTATTTGGTTCGAGTTTTATAATTAAAACGATGCCTAGAGACATGATGATATTTAAAGAATGTCAAAATGGCCGCCATTTTTAATAGAAATCTAATTTAAATAACCTAAATACAATTTATGGAATTTGGCCTTATGGGCAAAGAATTACATTTGTGGACCCTTCAAAATGGCCACTCATTTCAAAATGGCTACCATGTTTCGTATCTCAAATACCAATTGAAATATTTTACATGCTCATACACTGTACTTTTGGAACAACGGAATTAGCTCAAGAAAGAATATCTAAAATGGCTGCTCAATTCAAAATGGCTACCTACTTATCTTTATTAACTTATATACCAGTCATGGGATGTAGACTAATTTTTTATGTTTATGCCATGACCTCTCTGCTCAAAAGTGAATTTAAAATATGGTGTCGACCGCACCATATGACTATGTATTTTTCCAAATGGATACTCCTCAAATATTTCCTGGATATGTCTGTTACGTTACCCCCCTATCACACCAAACTAGTTCTTACCCGTTCTTGCCAGTCCTACGAAAACGTCGTCAAACGGGCTCAGTCTGACTGTGGTCGGGAAATATCTCTAAAATAATTAGCTACTTCGTTCATAAACAGTCTTCAATACGTCCATCTCATTCGCAGTTCGTTCAGGTCGTACCACGATCGGTGTGTAACGTCGTATAACGCGCCCCTTAGTCTAGAAGGTCATCATGACCTGATTACAGAACGGTATGGTCGCCATCGAATTTTGAATCGATTCAAAATTCTAAAATCACCTTCCCGTCTGAGAACGTTCGTGGAGTTCGTAAATAGACCTTAGAAAGTTGCAGCTACGTTCATTCCATTCGTTCACAGTTTAAAACCAGTTTTGAAGAACGCAGTGGTAACTTGTTTGGTGTGATAGCTATATTTTTGCTAATTCGTTCATAAGCAGTCTTTAATACGTTCTTAGTCAGTTTAAACCCGTTTGCAATTAGTTCTGTCTCGTTCTCAATACGTCCTCAGACAGTTCAACTCGTTGTAAAAACGTCCCTAGTAGGATTGAAGTACGATGGTTCCGTTCGTAGTACGTCCAGCTCGTCGTTAGTACGTTGTCACTCGTTCTAATTGTAGAACGTGACGACCACGAGAACATTTTGAGCATGTTCTAAGTTCTAGAGGACCTACCCGTTCGAGTACGTTCGATGAAGTTTGTAAATAGACCCCAAACGGTTTTAAGTACGTCCAGTCCGTTCGTACACAGTTGAAGCCCGTTTTCGAGAACGTAG